CTGTGACCTCTGGATATAGATAGTGCGGTCAGCACTGTTGTCACCGTCTCTATGGTTACTGAATCCAGTTGGGAACCTATCCTGTGGATAGGGAGCCGGACGTTTTGACCGGACCCAAAGTCGGGCATTTGTCGCATATGGGCTAATGTCCATTTGGGCGTTTGTCGCATTCGGGTAATCGTTCATTCGAGAAAAAGACCTTGAGGCAAACGGTATTTGGGGATTTGATTTAACCCGAGCTGGGTGAAGTCAAGGACGTACCGTGGTAAAGCTTGAGTTCCGAACTCGAGACTTTAGGACTATCAGCAATGCGCTATTCCATGGACCATACGGTGCCACAAGAGAAAATCTTATACTTAGATTTAATATCTGAACTCAGCAAATAACGTCTTAATTAGTTATTAGCTTATCTGTTAATACCTTGTTTCAACCGAGATTTAAAGAACATTGCTGCAAATGAAATCTTTAAATAGTTTTGTAAAATTTTTGCTGTAAACAACTTAAAACATTTTAAAATCTAATGTTTACAAAACAACAACATTGAATAAGTTTCGGTTTTTCACAACTTAAGACTCATAGAAAATGCGGTGAATATCTTAAAAATAAGGGGAAATAAAAATAACAGCACACTTAGAGAAAATCATCAACTAGGTGTAGCCTTTAAAATATTTTAGACGAAAGGAATGCCAGGTAAATTAGTGTGAAAAGGGTCGGCGTGTCTGCTGCAAACTTTAAAATACAGCAGCTGGCAACTTCAACAATGTTTGAGTTTTTTTAAATTATAACAGAATTAGACTCGAATTGATCAACACCCAAATAAGACCAACACTCAAATTAGACCAACACTTAGACCATGTACTCACCTTTTATCCAGCACGTGCAACATCTGTGGACTCATTAAGATCTCTAAATTGTTACACTTTGTGACGACGGAGATCATCTCAAGCACCCGGCAAGATGACTCACTCAACAGAAACTATAACAAGATGACACACTCAACAGAAACTATAACAAGATGACACACTCAACAGAAACTATAACAACGTGACACACTCAACAGAAACTATAACAAGATGGCACACTCAACAGAAACTATAACAAGGTGACTCACTCAACAGAAACTATAACAACGTGACACACTCAACAGAAACTATAACAAGATGGCACACTCAACAGAAACTATAACAAGGTGACACACTCAACAGAAACTATAACAAGGTGACTCACTCAACAGAAACTATAACAAAGTGACACACTCAACAGAAACTATAACAAGGTGACTCACTCAACAGAAACTATAACCAGATGACTCACTCAACAGAAACTATAACAAGATGACTCACTCAACAGAAACTATAACAAGATGACACACTCAACAGAAACTATAACCAGATGACTCACTCAACAGAAACTATAACAAGATGACTCACTCAACAGAAACTATAACAAGATGACTCACTCAACTGAAACTATAACAAGATGACACACTCAACAGAAACTATAACAAGATGACACACTCAACAGAAACTATAACAAGATGACACACTCAACAGAAACTATAACAAAGTGACACACTCAACAGAAACTATAACAAGATGACACACTCAACAGAAACTATAACCAGATGACTCACTCAACAGAAACTATAACAAGATGACTCACTCAACAGAAACTATAACAAGATGACTCACTCAAGTGAAACTATAACAAGATGACACACTCAACAGAAACTATAACAAGATGACACACTCAACAGAAACTATAACAAGATGACACACTCAACAGAAACTATAACAAAGTGACACACTCAACAGAAACTATAACAAGATGCCACACTCAACAGAAACTATAACAAGATGACACACTCAACCAAAACTATAACAAGATGGCACACTCAACAGAAACTATAACAAGGTGACACACTCAACAGAAACTATAACAAGATGACACACTCAACAGAAACTATAACAAGATGACACACTCAACAGAAACTATAACAACGTGACACACTCAACAGAAACTATAACAAAGTGACACACTCAACAGAAACTATAACAAGATGACACACTCAACAGAAACTATAACAAAGTGACACACTCAACAGAAACTATAACAAGATGACTCACTCAACAGAAACTATAACAAGATGACACACTCAACAGAAACTATAACAAGATGACTCACTCAACAGAAACTATAACAAGGTGACACACTCAACAGAAACTATAACAAGATGACTCACTCAACAGAAACTATAACAAGATGTCACACTCAACAGAAACTATAACAAGGTGACACACTCAACCAAAACTATAACAAGGTGACACACTCAACAGAAACTATAACAAGATGACTCACTCAACAGAAACTATAACAAGATGTCACACTCAACCAAAACTATAACAAGGTGACACACTCAACCAAAACTATAACAAGGTGACACACTCAACAGAAACTATAACAAGATGACACACTCAACAGAAACTATAACAAGATGACACACTCAACAGAAACTATAACAACGTGACACACTCAACAGAAACTATAACAAAGTGACACACTCAACAGAAACTATAACAAGATGACACACTCAACAGAAACTATAACAAAGTGACACACTCAACAGAAACTATAACAAGATGACTCACTCAACAGAAACTATAACAAGATGACACACTCAACAGAAACTATAACAAGATGACTCACTCAACAGAAACTATAACAAGGTGACACACTCAACAGAAACTATAACAAGATGACTCACTCAACAGAAACTATAACAAGATGTCACACTCAACAGAAACTATAACAAGGTGACACACTCAACCAAAACTATTACAAGGTGACACACTCAACAGAAACTATAACAAGATGACTCACTCAACAGAAACTATAACAAGATGTCACACTCAACAGAAACTATAACAAGGTGACACACTCAACCAAAACTATAACAAGGTGACACACTCAACAGAAACTATAACAAGGTGACACACTCAACAGAAACTATAACAAGGTGACACACTCAACCAAAACTATAACAAGGTGACACACTCAACCAAAACTATAACAAGGTGACACACTCAACAGAAACAATTTTATCACACGTCCATCGAACCACATTTTATCCAAGCTAACATCTCGAACTAAATTTCCTCGCAAAATGTCTTTATTTCAATATCAGTGCGAATTGTCTAAGCTAAGCAACCATTTGTTATGTGTTATGATGGAATTCGGTAATGATGTATTTGTCTGTTGAAAGCGATAAGTTTATTTTTTTAAAATAGTTTGAAAAGGTTCGTTTCTAGATACATGTTTAGTTACAATATCTAAATTAATAATGTTGGCACGAAATATTTGTTTTTCTTTAGTGGTATTATCGTTTTCTTTATATGAGTATAATACAGGGAGGGACGGGGGTATTCAATTCTGTAAAAGATCCATATGAGATTGTTGATAAATCTCTGCTTTTGCAAACAAGAATGGAGAAAAATAGTTTCTGTTTATGTGTGTGTGTGTTGGTGTGTCTGTGTGTGTATGTATGAAACGATAACGTGAGTACTGTTTCCGTTAAGTGGACACAACTTCATATATTTTAATTTCAGGGATACTTGGATTTTTATCAATTTTTCAGCGATTTTCGTGAGCCCGAAGTGTAACTATATTTCCGGTTGCTCGAAGTCCGTCAGAATTTGATAAAAGTATATGACACTCTCATGAACGGCATTTTGTTAAAAACTTTTTGAGTGGTTTTGTCACATACATACCTATCACTTTTACTGCCTGATTCCCCCCCCCCCCTCGGAAGGGAATCCCAACCATAACTTCAATACACGAATACGCGAAGAAGTTGAGGGAAGATCACTCTCCTTTAGTTTATTTAAATACACATTCATATGGAGTTAAGTATTATGAGGTTTAGTTTCATGTATTTTATTTCATTATGCACGTAGTGTTAGAAGATTCTTAATTAACAAACTAACCCCAACACATTCGTATTGCATGTCATACAATCGTCTACCGATATGCAAATGACATACACACTTCTAACTATTGTTAAATGACATACTACCCCATATCGATTCCTAAATGACATTCTCTTTTCAATACTAGATTGTCATACTATAAGTTAAAAATTCATTAAGCTCTAAATTGTAGGACATATTTCCCCAAGATTGTTTGAAATCAACTACCGCCACTCATAACCATAGCTGTTTGTTTAACTTTGGCTACCTTCACTCATCTTAAAGTGCTTGCCGTTTCTTTGGTTTGTGTATGTAGGTGTGCGCTATATTAGTGCTCCAAACCTACACAGGTGATCCCCCTTGTCTTAAGTGATTCACATCCACCCTTCACCCACACTTCTCCACCCCTCACCCACACTTCTCCACCTCACATGAAATGTGACGTTTCATCAACAATAACATGTTGTAGAAAGATGAGGTTTCCAACATATTCACCCTTATACTGAAGAAAGTGATCAATTCTTATAAACGCTAATCACTACCAAAACAAAATTGTCTTATTGATTTTTCATAATTATTGACTTTACTAATAACACGGTAATAAGTATCTCCTTACCCCTACATTCACATACTTATATATATATATATATATATATATATATATATATATATATATATATATATATATATATATAATGAAAAAATATATACTCTGTGTGTATATTACAACTAACTTGGAAAATAAATGGTAATAAATCTCTAGTAAGTCGACGTGGTCAAGCTAATACCATTAAAATATTTCCTATTCTGTATTGACATTTCATGTAACTGACAAGCTCCCCCCCCCCCCCCTCTCTACTCACTTAACCCCCAGGTATGTTGTTTTGATTCCTATGCCCGCGTGCAATAGGTCACCCCCCCAACTCATCGTTTCACCAGGCCATTAGTCGGTGTTATTTGAAATATCCTCCTTCCCCCCCCCCCAGTGCCCCGGGCCGACATGCTCTTGTCTACACGCGTAGCAGAGGAGCGCTCACCAGCCCGTGGTCACATGATCTACCTACACTTGCCTTAAAACCACCCTCGCTACACGTTTCGTTTCTTGTGAGTTCATTCCTGTGGAAACAGAAGCATCATTTCACGTTGATAACTTGATAACTTTATGTTGCTTATATATTGCTGCTACAGGTTTTCAAAGGCGTTAACATTCGTAAGTTGAGTTGTAAGAAATATATTTCGTTATTTTAAAAATAAAATTTAATACCTAATTTGCTATTTTATAAAATTTCTAGTATATTCTTATTAAATTTGCAGCTTATTTGTAAACTCTTATTTTCTGCGAAAGGGCTTGTTTCTAGTAGTTAACCTGGTTCCTAGTAATGGTAGCCATCGCAGTTTAGTAGTTGAACTAGAAATATAAAGCCCCCCCCCCGCATATATATATATATATATATATATATATATATATATATAACCACTCAGGTTATCTTTTTAAAATTTAGATATCCTACATCCTATAATATAAAAACCCATGTGAGCACTTCTCTCTCTCTCCCTCTCCCTGTCTCTGTCCGCAAAATATTTTCACAGGCTATCATATCAGTATCTTCAGTGATATATGAAGAACTTGATAGGGATTCGTGTTGAAAATAATATAGTAGTTGTTTTAAATGTATGAAAACATATTTATTTAAAGAAGTAATATAAAGAAATAAAGGCATATTCGAATGTAGAAAAACAGTTTTAATTATGCAATCGGAAAAGTGTTTATAGTTCTGACAAGAACCCGATTTACAATGGCGTCACAAATGTTTACTCTAAGGAAACTACACAAAACTAATAGCGTCATTTTCCGATTTTAGAATATAAAGAAATTAAACTATATATATATATATATATATATATATATATATATATATATATATATATATATATATATGTATATATATATATGTGTGTGTGTATGTGTATAATCGTGTGTGTGTAAGCGTGTGTGAGTGTAAGCGTAAATGTGTGTATAAGCGTGTATAAGTAAGCGTGTATGTGTGTGTGTATTAGCGTGTGTGCGACAGTCCGGTGAAGGTTTAATAATTACAGTGTATGATTTTCGTTCATTAAAACTTTATTAAATTCCCATTAAGATGCGTTTTCCTTTTACAAAAGATTAGAAATGTCAGAAAAAAAGCCTGATCTGAGTTAGAAGGTGGTTTGTAGCAAGCTCTAATTTGTTTAGACCAGCCTTTTATGTTCTATTTTTGCAACGATCTCTGTTGTGATATGGTACATAGTTGGATTATAAGTTTGTTAGAATAAGGTCATACAAGTGACATACAAGAGCAACTTAACAGAAACATTTATTGATCGCATTGGAATACGACATGGGTATTTCGTTGACTAGTTGATGGAATAACAAAACAAGCTATAGGAAACAAACTGAAATCCAACGGCTGTTAACAGCTCGAAGTCTTGGATTTTGTAGATGTGGGCTGCCTTCTCGTCCACAGTCAACAACAAATACAGAACTAATTGTACTGGTTGAAGAAGCAGTAATGGCCAGTTTAATGATAGTGGCACGGCCCATGACGTCCTGATTATATCAGCAGCAATTAAACGCGTTTTAACACTCTAAGACAATGTGGAATTCAAGTGCATTGTCAAAAAAATTCAGTCAGGATCTATAGCTAAATGTGAAGTCTCTTTTACTGTATGGCTCGCAGCTAGATTACAGACAGTGGAGAGTGAAATAAGAGCATGGAAAAAGTGGTGGTTAGGGCACAATATTAGAAATACAGTAAAGAACATCTCTAAGTAGGTGCTGGTGTAAAGTCCACGGCGAAAGAGGAAGAGAAGGAGACACAAAAAATGCCTGAAGAAAATCGTTTGAACTAGGGTTCTATTCTATCTTCATAAAAATCAAGTGAGTTGACGAAGTGTTGCCTACGCCTATGCTCCTTAGGAAACCGAAACAAAAAAAAAAGAAGGAAATCCAAACGAGCTTAGAGTAGTTGTTCTAAACTTGGGTTCGATCGAACCCAAGAGTTCGGTATGAAAGTCTCAGAGCTTCGGCGGAGGTCAAGACACACACCCCACATATGATTCACGCTCAGATTTTGTCAATGTTGACCCTAAAGTTATTAAGAAGGATTCGGCGAAGGCACATATGAAACTGGTAGGGTTCGGTACCTCCAAAAAGATTAAGAATCACTGCTTTAGTATGTAGTTTGTATAAGATGCAAGCTTTTGGTCTACTTTTGGTTGTGTCTTTAGAACAATTTCGATAATAGTATATTATAGTTTTATATTATCAGTTAGGTTGAACAAAGTAACAAAGCATCATCGCCTGTTGTGGTGTTGTACCATTTTTACATTGTTTAGTAGCCTTAGTGGCCTTAACTAAATGAAAATTGCATTATTAGGACTTGTTATGAAACAAGAAAAGAAAAGACCTATTCTGTACAATATACTTATGTTTTTAGCTCTTGTTCGCGACAAAAGAGCCCCCCCCCCCCCGCACACCTCCCAACCATCTTCGACAAAGTTTGTAGAGCGGGTTAACGTAACTAGCTTTCTAACTTTTAAAACTAGCTATCACTAGGCCCCCTTGGACCCAGTCCACAATTTATACAATTGCAGGTCTATATAGGGCCTACAGTCTAGCAGTTTACAGTAGGCACATTAGTATACCTAGTGTGTAGCTAGTATACTAGTGTGTAGATGTCCAGAGTTAAGATTGTTGGGTGTAATAAACCGGGAGTGATCTCCCCTAAACTTTCTCGAATATTCTTATATAAAATAACAGGGGATGGAAACTCGGGCTATAGACATGATTTTTAATCCATTTTAAATACTTAAAGTTTTAAAAATAGAATAAAATCTCGTAGACAAATTAATTGCACACCAAGTGAACGCAAATAAAAAAAGCGCATAATAGTGCGCAATATTATTAGTACTTTTAAAATTTACATTAGTTTTTTGAGAAATCGGAAGTAGCGTAAATTACTACTTCCAGTCAACGGAAATTACTCAAAATTTAACAGAAGGTAGAGAATTAGATCTTTTACTTACATGTGAAATTTCATTTATCTATCTGAAATAGTACTCAAGTTATAGGCTTTTAAAAAATTCAAAGTAGGAAAAGTACCACTTCCGGTTATCGGAAATCGCTCAAAAGTTGATACGGATCTACGATTTTGATAAAATACTTATATATGAAATTTCATCAACCTAGCTGTAACGGTACTCAGGTTATCGTGTTTACACACGGACAGACAGACACACAGACACACACACACACAGACATACGGACAAGATTGCAAAATTATGTTTTTCCGTATCAGTGAGGTGTAAAACGTCGAGATTTGTAAAAATCTCGATTTTTTTTTTTTTGCACGATTACAATACTTTCTCTATACTACGTATATACGAGAAAGTAAAAATGTCACACAATTTTACAATGCACTTTAGTAAAATTAGTTGCTTTTCTAATCGCTAAAGGTTGTTTACTCAAAATCCAGTGTAATTTTGCGATTTTAGTCTAACAGCGCCCCCCCCCTGCACCATCTTAATCAAAGTCACTAACGTATTTTACGGCTTAACAAACTGTTTTAATACAATTGGTTGTTTTTATAAGTGGTAACGTGTATCGACTCACCAATATAGTGTAAATTCTTCCGATTTTAGTCTCGAAAAAGCGCCCCCCCCCCATCTAGGAAAAGCTGGAAAGCGGTTTTGCCGGTCACTGCTTCTTAAGATTATATGTTTTACAGTTAATTTTCAAGGTTGAAAACAGTTAAACCAGTATGTAAAAGCTTGTAGTCATAACATTTTTTAACTTAGACTGTTTATAATTCAAAACTGCAGCATAAAATCAGCTTTAAAAATTTTTTTCCACCCCTTTTGGCGCCCCCCTAGGGTCGGCGCCCGGGGCGGCCGCCCCCCCCTAGCTACGCCTCTGCCTATGATGCTGTTCGTTCGGACATATGTTGCTGTACACTCGGATCTATATTTCTGTCCATTCGGATCTATATTGCTGTCCAACCGTTACGCTGTATTAACCCTTGTAATTTTCTTATAATTTATATACGAGAATCTCTAGCTTAACGCAAACAAGTAAAGATTCACTAGGCTTATTTAATTCTATTAAAATTATTGGTTTGGCTCAAGTTATATTCGCCCTTCAATGACAGCTCTTTCTGACCGTATCTTTTAATTATCTGCATACACATTTATACCGAAAGTTTTCAATTAGCTGTATACACATTTAGACCGAAAGTTTTCAATTAGCTGTATACACATTTAGACCGAAAGTTTTCAATTAGCTGCATACACATTTAGACCGAAAGTTTTCAATTAGCTGCATACACATTTAGACCGTAAGTTTTCAATTAGCTGCATACACATTTATACCGAAAGTTTTCAATTAGCTGTATACACATTTAGACCGAAAGTTTTCAATTAGCTGCATACACATTTAGACCGAAAGTTTTCAATTAGCTGTATACACATTTATACCGAAAGTTTTCAATTAGCTGTATACACATTTAGACCGAAAGTTTTCAATTAGCTGCATACACATTTAGACCGAAAGTTTTCAATTAGCTGCATACACATTTAGACCGTAAGTTTTCAATTAGCTGCATACACATTTAGACCGAAAGTTTTCAATTAGCTGCATACACATTTAGACCGAAAGTTTTCAATTAGCTGCATACACATTTAGACCGTAAGTTTTCAATTAGCTGCATACACATTTAGACCGAAAGTTTTCAATTAGCTGCATGCCAGTCTAGACCAATTGTTTTCTATTTTGTTGACAATAACCTACAATTTATTTTTGTGTAATGGGTATATTCTAATTTAGATCTTGTCATCCGTTATTGCAATATGTGATTGATGTGAAAATGCAATACGGAATAGTTTTTTTTTTGGTAATCGGAGACTTTTAATATATTAGCCTGGACACGTTGTATATTAATTAAAAACTTACACATTATAAACATAATGTTTTTACTATAAACATAATATATTATACCCTGGTGAGAAAAACATAAATACAAATACCAGAAGTAGAAAAATAACTGTGAAATCGGCCACTCTATATTATTGATTATACCCCCTAATGGCAGCCTGTATTGAGACAACTAATTATTCTGTTATCTTTACATGTAACAGAAGCAGGTGTTCCCATAATGTTTGAGATAGGTGTGATCCAAGTTGGAACGGTTCGCTGGTCTCTTACACACAGATGTGCAAACAATACTATTTGTAAGAAAATATAAAAAAATGTATAACTATATATATATATATATATATATATATATATATATATATATATATATATATATATATATATATATGGAAGAAACCCTACTAAACATTCAATGGGCAAAGTGCCTAGCCTTTGATTATTACCAGCATATAATTAACTAATGAATGCGCAGCTAAGTGGAGCTTAATATACTGTTGATCAGCTGAAAATGTTCGCTAATTTCATCAGGAATTTCAGCCACAGAACCTGCGTTTTGTTGGTTGTCTAACTAGTAAATATTGACAAAGTAACACAACATGGGAAGGATGCGCTATGTTTTTTGTTGGTTGTCTAACTTGTAAATATTGACTGACACAACATGCGAAGGATGCACTCTATGTTTTGTTGGTTGTCTAACTAGTAAATATTGACTGAGTAACACAACATGTGAAGGATGCGCTAACGTTGATGGGTCGTGTTTGGTTGTTTTTTTATTTGTTGCCCAACATGGGGTGTAGTGTAGATTTGATCTCGTGGATAGGTGCTGGGTATTTTGTGGATAGGTCCTGGGTATCTTGTGGATAGGTCCTGGGTATCTTGTGGATAGGTGCTGGGTATTTTGTGGATAGGTGCTGGGTATTTTGTACACTGACGATACACGGGGAATGTATTTTGACATTTAGGATGAATTCATCAAAGGTGCACCATTTCGGGCTGTCGCTTTGCGATCCATAGTTTGAATAAAAAGACATTTTTTTTTACCTTGGCATAGATTGGCATAGAATCAATGCCCTTTCATCAACTCTTTAATTAGCTCCGGCTATGGCTACAGCTACAGCTACGGCTGCTGCTAGGCTACGGCTACGGCTAGGGCTACGGCTAGGGCTAGGGCTACGGCTACGGCTACTCTACTCTAGTCTGCTCTGCTCTACTCTTCTGCTGCTGCTAGTGTTACCGCTCACAGCTATGGATGTCTACGCATACGGCTGTGTTTTTGCCAAAGTATAATTTTATTTCAATCGATTTCCCAGTACTCATACTTATCTTAATTTATAAACCTCTGTGTAATCCCCGACCTAATGCCCATTCAAATGTAGCGCACACACCATCAAGTGTAGCACCAATGACTTTAACCTTTAACCTACCCCCGCATGGTAACCTTCGCTCCCATTCATATCTTTGTTTCCCACGCTGAAACGGAAATAATTTTCTTGTTACCATTATTATTTTGTTACTCTATATAGTCAGGTGTAAATGTTACGCTTTGACATTTTACTAAAACATGTGTAAATACCACGGTATTATATCGTTTGAATCTAGCATTATTTTCCATTGTTATTTTACAAAGTTCTTTTTAACACAAGGCTAAATCAGTTTAGTTGTCCTGATGTTTACATCGACAAAAGGTCCGTAGGTCAAATTATTAAAATCGCACTTCTGTATGTACATGCCCGGCTAGAAGTTCTGATGGAATTCAAGTACTCAGCTAATTTCTGTATCTCCAGATGACTTTTGAGTAACATCAATCTTCGGTACATCAAAAACTGCTACACGGAGACCTTTGACTTGATTGGGGAGCATCGAATAACAACTTTAAAAACAAAAAGACGGAATAACTTTAAGATGGATGGAATGACTAATGACCCTTTTGGTGCCATGTTAAAAGAATTTCTAGATTCACAAGACAACATGTCATCAACGGAAGACACGACATTCACATCCATGATTTCTACCATTGATATTACTGAGTAAGTATACGTCTTTCTTTACACACACTCACACACTTACACACACACAGGCGCACGCGCACACAAACACACACACACACTTACACACACACAGGCGCACGCGCACACAAACGCACACACACACACGCACACACACGCACACACACACACGTGTTGAATTAATTTGTTTGTTTGTTTGTTTGTTACTTTAATTAAATATTAATCTCTTAATGGCAATATATTTTTGTAACTAGCTAGCAGAAAAATAAGTAATTGTTCGGTTATTTAGGAAAACGGGATAAATAATTAAATTTGACGTCTCTAACCTCTATTTATTCGAGTCTATTTTTAGAAAATGTATCACAGTATGTGACGTATGATATTCTGAAGTCTAGTGCCCTCATTAAGTGTAGGCTTAAGATCACTTTCTAGCACTATTGTTGGGAAAATCGAGTACATAGCTGTGTATCTGTTTATCTGTGTGAGTCTGTGTGTGCGTCTGTCTGTGTGTCTGTGTGAGTCTGTGTGTGCATCTGTCTGTGTGTCTGTTTGTCTGTGTGAGTCTGTGTGTGCGTCTGTCTGTGTGAGTCTGTGTGTGCGTCTGTCTGTGTATCTGTTTGTCTGTGTGAGTCTGTGTGTGCATCTGTCAGTGTGTCTATTTGTCTGTGTGAGTCTGTGTGTGCGTCTGTCTGTGTGTCTGTCTGTGTGAGTCTGTGTGTGCGTCTGTCTGTGAGTCTGTTTGTGTGAGTCTGTGTGTGCGTCTGTCTGTGAGTCTGTTTGTGTGAGTCTGTGTGTGCGTCTGTCTGTGTGTCTGTTTGTCTGTGTGAGTCTGTGTGTGCGTCTGTCTGTGTGTCTGTCTGTGTGAGTCTGTGTGTGCGTCTGTCTGTGTGTCTGTTTGCCTGTGTGAGACTGTGTGTGCGTCTGTCTGTGTGTCAGTTTGCCTGTGTGAGTCTGTGCTGTGGTCTATGGAGACCGTTGGCGCCATCTTCTGATCATTCTCCTCAGTGTCTCTATCTCTCAGTGTCGAACCCGTCCATTCCGCTATCCTAAATGTGTCTTCACATTTCTTTGTTTGCTTTACCCGTCTCGCGTTGCTGCGATCTAGTCCTACACACCAGTTTGATTAAACATTCTATACGTGTTTTGTCAACACGTACCAATCTTCTATTTTTAGACGCGTGACCTTGTTTTCTAAAACAGTTATTTAAAAGTAAACAAAGCTGGCACTATATTTTTGGGTTTTAGTTTTCAGTGTTCTGGTTTGTCCCAGGTGCTTCCCAGATGCCTCAGGGCGTGCTGAATTAACGCCTTGAGTGTAAATTAATCAATCTGCGTAACTGTCAGATAGGTAACTTCACGGCGACAGGCCAGGTGTGATATCAAAATACAGTTGTTACTTTCTCCCCCTCCGAACAACAGCGCCATGTGATACAAGTGAATATTCAAAAATATCGGAATAGTATCATGTAGGAGTGTATAGATTTGTACAATATCATAGCAAACAATTGCAAAGCCTTACATAGATGTAACTGAAAGAAACAATAATAAATATGCAGGTAAGTGTGAGAGAAAATATCACACTGTGTGCTCTATGTCTACTATAAACATAAAGGCCTCAGTACGCATTAAATGGTAAACATTTGGCGAAGTATCGGGAATAATATTAAAACCTAGCTTAAAATCTTCAGAATTATGTTAATATATATCAAACTTGATACCAACCTACATTTTAAAAAATTGATATATTTCACCCGCACCCCAAATCAGGCTGATAACCCACTATATAATTACATATTTTCAATTATCTTTCTGCGTATTTGCCCCAGTACAGATTACATATTTTGGCAATAACTATCTCTGTCTATCGCCATATCCATCTCTTTATTCCTTACCATACTCCTTGCCAAAAAAATATGCATATTTCTATCCTTAACTATCACCTTTCCCTTTATATATATATATATATATATATATATATATATATATATATATATATATATATATATATATATATATATATATATATATACCTGAAAAATACAATTCTTACTGTACTATAATGTCATGCATGTTGTCTTTTTACTATTGAGTTCCTTGACCTTCCCACTGAAAAAATTACTGAAAATATTATGAATTATTCAACTTCAAGTGTATTTAAAGAAATTCCGTAATTAATATTTACGAAGTCCAAGTCAATATACGTGCATACATATCCGTTTTAAATGTTATGTCAAAGAATAACTTTATAAAACTGTCAAAAGCCTTTTTTGTAGGTTAGTGTTTGGTGACCTGGTATCCTATGTTGTTGCCAACTAATCTTGTATACACTGTCTTCTATCGCTTTCTTTACGGGGAGTATACCGAAAGTGGGCTTAACTTGAAGGTGTTGGTCAGGAATATATCCCCCTCAGATAAATATTGTAACTGCTAGATTTAGGCCTATATATTCTTATATAAAATATATTCAGATAGAGAAAGAGAGAGAGAGAGAGAGAAAGATGGAGAGAGAGAGAGAAAGATGGAGAGAGAGAGAGAGAGAGAAAGATGGAGCGAGAGCGAGCGAGAGACAGCTACTAATACAATTATATAACTCAAGTAAAAAAAAATCAGTCAGTAAAAAAAAATACAAATAGCTTACCCCCCCCCCCCCCCCCTCCCCTCCCCCACTCGTAACCCTGCATCGTGCATAGGTTTTTTTTTAAAAGCTCTCAGCTAAATGAGAAACTGGTAAACTTGTGCGCGCCACATTGCCAGCAATTTAACAGCGAAAATTAACCAGACCCCCCTCCCCCATTTCAAACACAAACACACAAACAACATATACCTGCACAAGACATGAATAGAGGTCAATCGCTTTATGCTCATAGTTCTAGTTTTGGTGAAGGTGACCTTAAAAAACTTAGTTCCAGAGAACTTTTTGGTGTTTTATCTTTTAACGAGAGACCACTGGTAATTTTTGAAATGTTACAACGTCACATTGTAAGCATGCGTGAACACATTTATTTACAACCAATGCTAAGCCCTCTTGCAGTCTTCGAACAAAAATCGTTTGATAATTTAAGCCAGATTTTTATAGAACTGTGAGCTATAACCTCAACACACGATGAAAACATAGCAGGTTCACACTTATAGGGAAAATAAATGGGTGCTATAGAAGAAACTGGTCAGAGACAACAAGAGTCCCATAACACATAATGTCTAAACATAGATAAATTGAGTGCGCCAAAATGGATTATCCTAATTGGAAAATGTGAAATTTAAAGATACACACGCCAAGAAAAGGCTAAGAGTAATGGAATTTAAAGGCACAAGTCATAAAACCTCTCACAGTAATGGAATTTAAAGACATTCTGCATGTAAATTCTCAGAAAAATGAAAAGACACTCGTCATGAAAAAATTAAATTTCCAACGCGCATTTTTATGGTAAAGAGGCGACGTGATCTATATGGAGAGCTCATTACTGCTGAGTTCAAATGTCCGGAGTTTGGATCCCGGGCAGATGAGACTCATTAACTGGAATGACTCATTAACTGGGAGACTCATCAACTGGGAGACTCATTAACTGGGAGACTCATTAACTGGGAGACTCATTAACTGGGGGACTCATTAACTGGGAGACTCATTAACTGGGGACAGCAACATATGTAGGGGAAAACACTCCAAAACCAAACAACTGCTGATTGGTAGATTGTTCTTTGACGGGCAAAGCTGATGGATCAAATCCAGTCAGAACAGCAGACCGACGTCCGATACGGAACATAAAAAGGTGATGCGTAATCGTAACTGTCTTGGATGAAATCTCAAATATCAAACATGTTTTATTTATTTTAATATGAAAACTGTTTCAAAGGGCCGTTTTAATTTTATTTGTTAATTTGTTACTTTGTGGTTACCCTACCCCATCCAGTTACTGATGTAATTAGCACGGATTCTACCAATTTAATTCTACACATCACACAGGAGAAAAGTTTCAGTAGTGTTGCACATCGCGGTATCAAGCGTGTAGTTTTAGAGGTGTGTTGAAATCGAGTGATGTAAATGTAACCAATGTTGTCGTTACCTGTTTTGTAAATATCGGCACTGCATTTTGTGGATTTAAGGTGCTCTAGGCTGGTTCGTACGCACTACCCCCAGACGTGCTAGGGTGCCGGTTCGTACGCACTAACCCCAGACGTGCTAGGGTGCCGGTTCGTACGCACTACCCCCAGACGTGCTAGGGTGCCGGTTCGTACGCACTACCCCCAGACGTGCTAGGGTGCCGGTAAATACGCACAACCCCCAGGCGTACTAGGGTGCCGGTTCGTACGCACTAACCCCAGACGTGCTAGGGTGCCGGTTTGTACGCACTACCCCCAGACGTGCTAGGGTGCCGGTAAATAAGCACTACCCCCAGACGTGCTAGGGTGCCGGTTCGTACGCACTAACCCCAGACGTGCTAGGGTGCCGGTTCGTACGCACTACCCCCCCGACGTGCTAGGGTGCCGGTTCGTACGCACTAACCCCAGACGTGCTAGGGTGCCGGTTTGTACGCACTACCCCCAGACGTGCTAGGGTGCCGGGATGAAACTCTTGACTTCACAGGCGCCGCACGGGGGAGATTAAAAACCGCCCAGGAGTCAAAGGCCGCGTGAGAGCCACCGGTTACACTACCACAGGGGCGCGGGTTCCGCCCCTGGTTCGGTTAAGTCATAGACTGTTGGAAATAGACCTAGATGTAAAGCAGAAGACAAATGAGACTTTGACCAAGAGGTGTATAGGCAGGATAAAATATGTCATTTTTTAAATTAATGGACATTTTAAAAATATCTTTGTTGATTTGTACCAGTTTTGAAATGGGTTGCTACAACTGATCTCTTTATACAGCTGTGGTGTCAAAGGTGAACAGATCTATAACGATTACAAATCAATAAGTTACTTGATTTGGTAGCATCTTCATGTTGGTGTATGATCCTTACACAAATATCTATCTATATATATAATTCTCTTCTTCGAGCCGTTAGAAAACAAGCTGCAAACGCGC